TGAGCTGAAGAGCTGAGGGACAGCGCCCAGGCCCAGAGTTCAGGCCCCACGACCAGATCCCCCCCCCTCCCCCCCAAAAAAAGAACTGTACAGATTACGTTAGTTATATAACCCCTCTGTACCTCACAAGTCTGAGATTGGTGAAGGTGGGTGAGTGGAGGAATGAGTTGGTTACTTGTAAGAGATTGTTTAATTCTTGAAAATGAAATGTTTTTCAGTTCTAGTTACCGACTAACATTTCCTGGAACACTTTAGAAATACAAATGGCGAAGCACCAATCCAGAATGGCAGAGGTGGGACCTGAGCACATGGAAAGCAAAACTCTTGTACCAGCAAAAACTTAATCTATTAATAACACCTATGAACCTCAGCAAAAGGAAGATGATGAACTGCTCCTTCTTTAATATAGGGATCAAATATGATCAGGAATATCAAGTACTCAGAGTATTGCACGCTGCATTGTGCTAAAGAAATGCCCAAATCATTAACAAGTATCCATTATGATGGAATATATTTTGAGGTATTTAAAAGGAAAAATTGTTTAAGGGATATGAACATTTAAATATTAGAAATTAGAACTTGTAGGGCCTGGGGCCCTATATGAAGTGGTAGTGCCTACCTAGCAAGTCCAAGGCTCTGAGTTCATGCCCTTGTACTGTCAAAAGCAAACAAAGAAAAAAAGAATGTGTTAAAACTCAGCCTCTTCCCCTCTACACTGCAGCAGCACAGGCTGATCTCTACTGCCCAAATTCACCACACCTGGCTACGTGGCTCTCCTTTCTTTTCCTTTTTTTTGGGGGGGGAGGGGTAGGGTGGGGTGGGAGAAAATGGGGGTATATTAGAATTGAATTTAGGGCTTGACACAAGCCAAACTCCCAGCCTACATTTTCTTATCCAGTGCTGATATAAAGCACTTTAAGGCCTGGTTATTTTCCCATTTTCCAAATGTCTGTTACGGATACCTAATTCCCAATTTCTCAGGAGACATTTCACTTACCTTGCTTGGGTTTAACGTCACCTGTGAATCAATTGAGGCACAGGCATACCATTTACAAGCGTGGTGACAGTAGATGTATCCGTGTGCTAGGCTGGTCATGACTTATAAATATCTTTACAATTATTGGGAGGAAAAGATCTATTGTCACTATATACTATTCTGGGCAGACAACATCCCATGAAGCTCAGAGGAGTCTGGTTGGAGTGTTCAGTAGGAAAGTTCAGTGGATTTTATATTTAAAAAAAACCTGGCTATGATATATACCTGGCAGACTAGGAAAAGGTAAACATCAAATGACATGTTCTAATTTGAAAAGAGGGAGGAAGAGAATGTGTAAGAGTAGAAAATTAAATTTTGCTTGAGACAAGCCAACATGCAGCCAAGCTGACTCAAGGACTTTCAGAATGGAGCATCCAGGAAAGAGGTGGAAAGTCAGGGTGATTTTAAAAGGGAGGTCATAAAAACTAAAGGCATTAAGAAGGACGTGCTGGGCACCAGAGGCTCATGTCTGTAATCCTCCCTACTCAGAAGGCTGAGATCTGAGGATAGCGCTTTCAAGTGAGCTGGTGCAGGAAAGTCCTTGACCCTCTAATCTCCAGCTAACCACCCCACTCTAGGGACCGTGTCTGTACCAAAGTCAGTGAATAAAAGAAACTGACAAGTGAAAATTCCAAAGTATGATTTTGAAATCAAAGAGTAGAAAATGAGAATGAGCTGCAGGTTGAACAAGATAGTCAGAAAATACTTCGCTTGTGTGAATTAGGATATCACAGATGACTCCAAAAAAAAGTATAGAAACGTTAGAAAAACAGGATGTGCCCGACTAGAAATCATCCACATTTGTGTGGATGGATTTTTCCATATTTTTAGTGTTTTTTTTTTTTTTTAAATGCTGTATAAGCACTGTAAGGCCATTCCTTAGTTTTGCATTATTTTGTTGCTGACAGACTTTTGATCTGTTTTACATTTAGACTGCTGCTAGGAACACACTGCACTGCCTTTTGTACACCACATGATGCAATCAATATCATTCCTCTTTAATTTGGACATCCATTTTCTGAAAAGACCAACTGCTTACTTACTGCAGTATAATGGCCTCTTTCCTAAAGGAAAGTTGTCTAGTCCTGTATCAGTATCACGGCTTTAATGATGGACTTCAGGTGGAAGTCTTCTAAATTTGTCTTTTACTTTCAGGTGGTTTCAGTTGTTTTTGAATCTATCATTCCATATTTGTTATCAACCCTCTCAGCTAACCTCCTGCTGTAGTGTGGAAGTTGAGTGCTCTTCAAAGGCCCATGTGGTCCCAGTCAGTGGTGGCAATACACAGCAGCAATCTCGGTACCTGTATTGCAAGTTGGAGACCAGCCTGGGTTAGACTGAAAATCTGTCTTAGGAAAACAAAAATGAAGGAATGGCAGAGGAAAAACAAAGGAGGAGGTAACAATGCTGGATAGGAAATGTACTCATTACTCATGTAACTGTAACCGCTCTGTACAGTATTTTTACAATAAAAAACATAAAAAAATGAAACAACCACAACTTGAGGGAGAATGACGGGGGGGGGGGGGGTAAGGAAAAAGGAGGGAGGGAAGGCCAGCAGGCACATAGGTGCACTGGTTCACAATTGAGGAGGTGGGGGAAGCCGTTATAGGTGTGGCATAGTGGGAGGAGGTTATGCCTTGAAGGGGGTCGTGGAATTTGCCTTAATGCTCTACTACATTCTTTCCACTCTTGCTGCTCTGTCACAAGCCCAGAGTAGCAGTGCCACCCAACCATGGATGAGAGCCTCTAAAACTGCACACCAAAATAAGCCTTATCCTTTTATAAATTATCTTAGGTTTCTTGTTAGAAAAACAAACACACTTCCCTCAAACAGTATTGAAATTCTGGCTGGAAATATAATAAATCTATAGGTCAATTTAGTAAAAACTGACACGTGAGCAATATTGACTATTGCCAAGCACAAATATGTTACATTAAGACCTTTTAAACTTTTTTCAGGAATGTGTTACAGGGTTTTTTTTTTTGGTGCCCAACTCTTGTACATCTTTCATTAAAATAAGTCCCTCAGTATGTTTTTTATATACTGTAAATAGCATCTGCACTAAATGCTATCTGATGTGCTACTGCTTAGATAAACATAGCTCCATTAACCTTATCTCTAGTCATATTACTAATTCTTTTATAGACTAGATTCTTTAGTAGACTTTGGGTTAGTTTTCCTTTATTTTACTTTATGCCAGTTCTGGGGCTTGAACTCAGGGCCTGGGCACTGTCCCTGGGCTTCTTTTGCTCAAGGCTAGCACTATATCACTTAAGTCACAATGCCACTTCCGGCTTTTTGTATTTATGTGATACTGATGAATCAAACCCAGGGCTTCATGAATGCAAGTCAAGCACTCTACCACTAAGCCATATTCCCAGCCCTGAGTTAAGTTTTAGTTGTGCCAATCAACCCTTCTACTTTGTTTCCCTGGCCTTTATTTAAGGTTAATGATATCCTTATAAGCAAACCCATAACTTACATCATAGGAATTTTAGTATATTTTCAAACACAGAATCATCAGATAGCTGAGGACGGTCAAAAGTGAAAGAGACTATGGAAAACAAACAATAACTCAGGAAATTGAGGAGACTGAAAGGGAAAATACAAGGAACAAGATAAAATTAGAGACTGGGGACTGGGGGTGTGGCTCAAGTAAGTGGTAGACTGCCCTGTTTAACAAGATCAAGACTATGAGTTCAAGTCCCAGCACTGCCAAATAAAGTGTAACAAAATATACACTGGAATATCAATGAAATAACTATCAGTGAATAAGTTATTAGATGACTTTGAAGATAAAGATATAAAAAGAAAGGTTAAGTCTACCTTACTCAGAACAAGCATTTCAAATTATTGTTGGACAGTTCATTTGTCAAGTAATCTTTTTCAATATCTAAAGAAATTTCACAAAACATCCAAATTGTACTTACAATAAAAAGATATAAAAGCTACTTACAGGAAAAAATATAAAGTGTTAAACTAGGAAAACAACATGAAAACAGTAGAGTATACTTTCTATCACAAATGTAAGTATCAATATTTTAAATGCATCACAAATGACTAACACATTTTAGACCATTAGTTCTAATAATGTAAATATTCAATAATGCTTTTTAAAAAAATTTATTTATGACAGACTTAATTAAAATAAATTGGAAAAATCCACCAGACTTAGTGTCAGAATTACAGTATGTTTCAAGTGTATGTAATTAACAGTACAAATGCAGTAACTGTAATACCCAAATCTCAGTATATTTAATGTATTACATATACAATAAAATAGCCCCTTGAGAACTATATGAGCACTTTTCAAATACAAGGCTTTATCCAATAGGCTCTTACATGCCTATATCCAAATTTATCTGCTCATACATCAAAGGACAAACATTACCAAAATTAATCCTTTAAAATGTCTCTGAACTATTATAATTTTCTTTTGGGGCTTAATACACCAAGGCTATTAAACAATATAAAAAGGCAGCAGCAATGAAGTTAAATAAGGAGTATGGGAAGAAATCAAATAGCTCAATATTAGCAACAATATATCTGATAGCACAACAAATCTGTGTGACATTTTTACAATGTGACCACTGAATTTAGTACAATGTTATACTGCTTCTAGCTAAGTAACTGATAAGAATACTTGGTGAAATTCCTCTTCTTTAATAAGGGAATTTTACCCCGAAACACATCCTCTGGAAACATCCTAACTGCAGAAATGTCAATGATAAGCAACACTCTCTGATATATGAAATGCTATGTTAATAAGAAACAAAAAAAGGACAATGAGATAATTTTTCAAAACTTGAAGCAAAAAATACATTAAGAGTAAGCTCATTACTTTATGTATTAATTAGAACTAGGAACTGCAACTTGAAAATCTTCAACTCAGGGCCTTTACTTTTTGGCTCATGGCTGGTACTCTACCATTTGGTTAACTGGAGATGAGAGTCTAGCCAACTTTTTCTGCCCAGGCTAGCTCTGAAATGCCACCCTCAGATCTCAGTGTCCTGAGTAGCTATGATTATAGATGTGAGGCACCGACTCCAGCTAAAATTTTCATTCTTAAGTGATTATTTTGGATAGACTATTTGACAGATACTGTGCTATATGTACAGTGATGAGTAAAACAAAGTTTTCTGCTAAAAAGCAAAAGTTTTATTAATCTAAGAAATATTTATTATATACTTACAAACGTAATTAAAATATGGCTTTTAGAAAAAAAAATTTCCGCAAAAAAGGTAACGTTCTAATTGAGTGCTTTTGTATATAAATAGTAACACAAAAGTTCAGAGAATCATATATACTTAGAAACACAAAATGTGAATTTGACTATTTCAATGTATAGCAAAGGAATACACATTTCCTGTGTATTTTCCCCCCAAGCATACACTTAGAAGCAAAAACTTTTTACAATAAACAAATACTCTAACACAGTCCATAGAAAAAGATTTGTTTTAAATTAGGACATCAAAGACAATCTAAATCAATCATATCATACATCCGTTTTTTTCTTTTTCTTTTTCTTTTCTCGTGATCTCAGGGTTGGAACTCAGGGCCTTGTGCATGCTAGGCAAGTGTTCCAGCTCTGAACTATATCCCAGTCCTGTGTCATCCACCTAGGACTGATACCAACGAGTCTGAACACAGGAACCATAACTGTAGTTGACTCTGAGTCCATGCTATTAATCTTCATCATCTCTTTGTAAAGGTACAACCTGAATCTCTTTGGCTATCCTTTCAGCTAACACTTTGCTATTTGCAGCAATTATTCTTCGTGACATCAAATCAAATGGTCCACCTAAAATCAAATATGCAAAGCAGTTATATACTGTATAAACATAGTTTTGAAAAGAAAAACAATCATAGCAATATGTTTTATGGTCATTTATGGTCAAACATTTAACTACATTTTGTTTTCTTCAAAAGTCAGAAAACACCTGTCACATAATTCCAGTGTTTAAGCTTTGGCAGTATACATCTGAGGTGCTAAGCTGCTTTTTTCAGTAAATACCGAAGTGGTGCTCACAAGACACACCAGGTGAGAGACATCATTTTCCTTTTTGTTTTTTCTTTTGTGCGCTCTGGTTATAAGCATCATCTGTCTCCTATCATGAGCCAAATGATTTCAGGGGCTGGGCCTTAAATGGTGTGGACCAGACATTTCCTATTCATGACAGATCTTCCCTGTAACCTCTCAGGAGTCCCAGATACATGTGAGAAAGCTTAGCAGTTTTTCATTGTTAGTCCTGAATTTTACCAGTAGCTCTTATTATTCCCTATCTCCTAATGCTTATTCTGATTCAGAGAAACTTTTAAACCTTGCTTTTGCTTTAGAAGTTGAAGCTATGTCAATTAAAAAAACAAAACAAAACAAAAAAACAACACAACACAGAGAGACAAGTCTCACAGATAGGGAGAAAGCAATACTTTACTCCCCAGTGACTTTACCGGTTACATCCATAAGGACTCCTCCAGCTTCAGTGACAATAATGCCAGCTCCTGCCATGTCCCAGCAGTGAATTCCCATTTCATAATATGCATCCGCCCCTCCAGTTGCCACCAGGCACATGTTAACAGCTGCTGTTCCAACACTCCGGATTCTAGCATGAAGAATAGGACCAGAAAAAATAATCCTGAGAGTAAATAAAGTATTCCTCCTTAACTTCTGCTTATCTTCAGTTTGAGTTTTATTTCTATACAGTTTTCAAGGATGGGAGGCATGTCTCAAATGGTAAAACACTGCCTAGCAAATACAAAGTCTGAGTTCAAACTCTAGTACCAAAAAAGAAGGTTTTCACAAGTGTATTACAAAATTAGAGTTATAGTCTGTTAATAAAAATCTCATTCAAAAGAAAAACAAAACATATTCCTTTATAACGTGAATTACCTGGAACTTTAGGTAGGAAATGAAAAAACTTACCCATGAATGGGAATGGAGAAAAGCTTTTCCATGTTAGAGAGAACAATTCTTACAGTCTCTGGTGTTCTGGAAGAACCTAATTCTGTCACCAATAGTGATTTGGTTATATCTGAAGAGAAAATGTTTTAAATAATCAATAACTTTTATTAAGAATTGTGGAGGGAAATGATGTAATTCAGAACAAAATAACCCCTTTTTCTAGTTTATCAAATTTGTTTCTTTCTAAGCCTTAAACGTTAAAAACTGACAAACTAGCCAGCAGTCTAGGAGGTTGTGAGTTCAGCCTGGGCCACATAGTAAAATTCTGTCTCAAAAACAAACGAAAAGTAATGAACTTATAATGCTCAAGTAAAATTTTTATTTATTTGAGACACAGCTTCATGATATAGCCAAGGCTGGCCTTGAATTCAATGTGTCAAAAATCTGGTCCCAAACCTGTGATCTTATCTCTAGCTTCCAAGTGCTGCGATTACACAAGTGCACCACCACACTTGGCCTTCAAGTGATTATTATTTTTAATTGATAAGCATGGTCTTGAAGTGATTATTTTTATAAGTATTAAAAAGTCCAGCTTCTCAGAATATTACCCAAAAGGTGTACAACATAACCAGGCTGTCTGGGTGCATATCATGTACTTCAAATGTAGAAGAAATGGAAGTGCAACTGTGGTTCAAGTGGTAGAGTACTAGCCTTGAACAGAAAAAGCTCAGAGACAGTACCCAGGGCCCTGAGTTCAGGTCCCAGGACCAGTACGCACGCACACACGCACATGCATACACACACACACCAAAAACACATACTCATACAAATAAAAAACCAAAAACAAACTAAAAAAAGTAACAAATTAAATTAAGTCAGGAGTTTATGCAGGTTTAGAATAAAACAAGTTAAAGTGGTAGGTCTCTGTCTGTCCTGTCCTCTATCTACTAAGCTGACAGACTGTCCAATACTTTCCATTCTCTCTCCAATACCATGAGTGAAGTTCCTGACACCTTCAACAGTACCCATCAGCTGAGAAACACACTGACCAGCTGCTTGTCCCCACCATCTTTGTAACAGTTGTGCTACTTTTAATTGCTACCTACACTATGAAACATGAAAAAATGATCATGCAAAGGCAGAGAATTGTCTCTATGAAAAGCGACCACATTTCTCCAGCTTTAAGATGCACATTTTTTATGTCAGTATCTCGAAGTTATATTATCCAGTCTCTGGAATCTTAAAGACATCAATTTGGAGTCTTAAGAGTTCAATAAAAAAAGGAAATAAATTAAAAATTTGCTCTAAAGTCTTTAGTTAAGGAAAAAGTATGTCTAGGACTCCAAATTCAGACTGTTAGCAAGTTCCTGCTACATAAAAATAATCTGAAAGTACAAAATCAAAAGTGTTGGATGTGGTTTATGAAAGGTGACTCAAAACTTCAATAAGAACTTCAATCAAAACTTCATCACAAGGAAATAAAATGTCAGCTATCTAGGTCTCTCTCTCTCTCTCTCTCTCCTGACACACACACACGCACATCTGGGTTCTGTATGTACAGGGTCCTTAGCCTCAACCCATCTCAGCTTGAAAACACTATGCCCCAAAACTGCACCTTATTGAACATCTGCAGACCTTTTCCTCCTTGTTTTTATACTCTAAGCAATAAAGTATAACAACTATTTACATAACATTTCCATTGAGTGCACAGATGATTTAATAAATCATCCTGTATAGGGGTATATAGGTAGGTTCCATGCAAATACAGCAACAACTTCTCTAAGGTATTTAGTTCAGCAAATGTGGATTGCTGTATCAGCAAGGGATACTGAACCAATTTTCCACAGATACTTTTAATATGCTTTATCTTTAATGCATTTCTTAATAATTAGTGTGGTGACATAAAATCAGAACACGAAGAAGAATCTGGAGTGCAGTGGCTATAACACTAAATGAGATATTCCATGAGGGTAGGAATATAGCTATGTATCTACAGCTTCCTCTCTCCATCACTTAGTACAGCACTGGGCCTGAAGTGTCTGCTCAGTTCTATTCCCCTGCTTCCAATACTATATTCCAAACTAAGGCCAACATATAAATGTAAAAAGCAAATGAACACAATTTATGACTCCATAGATTAATACTAAAAAACCATACTGCACCAACAACTAACGGACAAACCTACCTTCTTGCTGCGAAACCTGTAGTTTTTGGCCATTACAAAAGGCACCTTTGCCTTTCCTGCCAGTATACATCTTATCTTCCACACAACTGTATACAACACCAAATTCCATCTGCAGAGGGAAAACAAGCTTCTTATAGCCAACCTAAGTACTTTTCTTCATTAAACAATACTTTTCAGACAAAGTAAGAAAATTGTGTACTAATAATATATTACTAATAATACCAATAATATTTAGAGAGCTATGACTCAAAATGTGAACCTCCAGCCTTAATAGAGAACATTTCACCTGATATCCTTCACTCTCCTCCCACACATCTAACCTGACAGTACCCAATCTTGCCTCTCTTAGCCTAGGTTAGAGATAGCACATTCATGTTTTCTAAGATGACCATGTTCTCCTTTGTTGTAAGTCCTACTGCTGCATCCATCTTCTCTTAAGACTTCTCTTCTGGTACCTTTCCACCAATGTCCCCCTTTTCCCTACTGGTATGGTTTGAATGACTGACCCTTCTAAAATTCTTATTGAAATTTAACTGCCACAGTAATAGTATTGGGAAATGAGGCCTTTAAAAGGTTAATTAATTGGGCTATGAGGACTCTGCACCCTCAAAGGATGGGTTTACTGCCTAAAAACAACAACAAAAAAAAAAAACAGAGTTTTTTGTCATGTAAAGATTCAGCTTTCTTTCCCTCTGGAAGACACAGCTTGCAAGGTGCCACTTGGAGATCAGCTTCACAACACAAGGAACTACAGCCGCCTTAAAGTCAAATATTTCTATTCATTATAAATTACCCAGTCTTAGGTATTCTGCTGAAGTAGCACAATGACACAACATTTCTTTCCCTTCTGTCAAGGAGTAGCCTAACTTGGCATCACCTCCTCTCCTATGAGTATGTTACAATTTGGGTTCTTCCCTGATCACTCACATTCTGCTGTAACTCCCAGGCAGAGTATCAATGAACAATGATCTCTTAGTGACAATGATTTAGAAGGAAACCATTGGCCACCATCAATACTTACATAGTACTTAATTTGATACTTCCATGTTTCTGACAGACTTGCTCAGTTGTGCCTCACTTAAGAATCCATCTCATTTCCTTGTCTAGCTCTTCATAGTTGAGTACCTTAGGATCTTTTTCCTCCTTCCACATTGTTTTCATTTCTTTTTGTGCTCCAAAACTCTTACAGGTTGGTCCTTAACTACTGTAAGTAATTTTGGCTCCCATCAATCTCACCATCACAGGTAAAAAAACATCATTGGGCACTAGTGGCTCATACATGTAATCCTAGCTACTCAGGAGGCAGAAATCTAAAGATCATGGTTCAAAGACCAGGCAGAAAAGCCAGTGAGACTCTTTACTCCCCTCCTCCTCTCCAAATAAAAGTTCAAACTCCAGGACCAGCCCAAAAAACAGAAAAAGAACTAGTGCTTTAGAACTAAGGTTGTAAAAACCTCAAAGAGGTGAAAAGTACTTCTTCAATGTTTTATTTTTATTTTTTACTGGTACTGGGCTTGGAACCCAGTGCGACATGGCTTACTTAGCAGGAACTCTACCACTTGTGCTATGCCTCCCACTGTTTGTGCTTTATCCAACTCCTAAGACCTCTTCTATTAAGAGAATTGTTTATATTCTCTTCTGTCTTTCACATCTGTAATGGTTCCACTACATATTCTTTTCTTTTTGCAGGATACTGGGCTTTGAACTCAGTGTCTTGAGCTTGCTAATTTTTTTTCTAGTATTGGGCTTGAACTCAGTGCTTTGAGCTTGCTATACAATTGCTCTACCACTTGAGAGACACCCTCAACCCATCCATTACATTTCTTTACATGCTCTCATATGTAATTGAGTTCAATGTCGATGGTAGCATACAGCCTAGAGCTAGTTATATGCTAAATGCTCATTAGCTCAGTTTGGATAGTCTCACTGATTAATATAACTTAATCAGTAAGCTTTCATTTGTACTAATTGGGTTTCACTTGTTTTCTTGGAGATTGAACTCTACTACTGAGTGAAACCCCCAGCCTTAATTTTGTGTTTATATTTTCAAAAATATAAACTGGCTGATCAGATATTTCACAAATTCCTTGAAGACAAGTATGTAGATGTTAGTAATCAACTTGGTTAGCAAGTGTAAGACCCTGAGTTCAATCTCCAGTATTGAGGAAAAAAAAAAAAGATGCCCATGTGCTAGTGAACATCCTACACTACTTGGCCAGCCAAATAACCAAAGCAAGGTAATGTAACAGCTATGGATTTGAAGTTTCTGAGCTTTAGATATAAAAATTTGATTATGTTTAGGTTCCAAATAAATTCTGTACTTTCCAGCTATGTTCTCTCTGATACTTTTATATCTTTGACTGTCTCTCTTCACTGACAACTTACTAAAACATTTCTAGCTCAAATCCCATCTTTTCCATGTTAACTTTTATTATTAATAAATGCTTCTAGGCAAGTGCTTTACATCCCAGGCCTTTTATTAGTTATTTTTCCAGACCTGGTCTCATGCAAACTTCTTCTGGGCTGGCCTCAAACTACAATCTTTTAACCTACTTTGGGTTGGCTCGATTATGAATAATAGTATTTACCATCACACACAGATGGTTTTTGAGACAGTCTTGCTAATTTTTGCTTGAGTTGACCTCTCTCTGCATCCCAAAAAGCTGGGATTATGGGTATGCACCACCATATCTAGCTCTCCTTGAAGCATTTTAGGTTAGATCAACTCCTGTCATGGTTAACTCTACATATAGTAGAGAATGAGTTTTCCTTTTTACTGGTGATTATTTAATTTTTTTTTTTGCAACTCTTGCTTCTAAGAAAACATGAAATTTTCTTCACTGGAAATACATCATGAAAATTGTAACAGTATTTATTGTCTTCTATTTAAAATAATGCAGTTATGTAACTACAGAGACATCTGAAATCATTTGGGAGACTTGTTTCATCTTTGTCAGAAAACAACCAAGACATTTTATGAACCATACATTTACAACATACCTTTTTATTTACAACAAAGCCAATCGAAACAGCTACAAAAGGAAATCTTTAAAAAAAGAGAGACAAAACCCACAAATTTACCAAGACAGAACTTATTTTTAATAAAACTCATTTTCTCATAAGTGCTTATAAAATTTTCAGTCTCACCCTTCCTCCCTCCCAAAAGTAGGATGCAACAGAATATACAGTATTGCCAGGGGGCAGGAGATGGTACCCACCACTAACACATGTGCCCCCTAACAGATGCTTCTATAGCATGAAAAAGATCTGAGGATTTGTAAGAAACTGGCAACTACTGTCCCTTTCAGAAATACATCCATTGTAAGGGGAATAAATGCTAGGTAGATAAATTGCAATGCATGCCATTTTACTTCTTTTGAGTGTAAAACACTGAATATAATAAATCTGTAAAGATTTTTACATAAAATAAATTGATAAATTCTTAAAATTATCATTGTTGGTAGTTGAGATATAGAGATTGAGAGGATCTAATTCAAGGCTAACCTAGGCAGAAAAGTTAACAAGACTCCTTAACCTATAACTGCGCATATCTATGCCAATCTACATGGGAGGCTGAGATTGGCCTGATATCCTAATGCCAGGTCAGTCTAGCCAGATATGTCTGTGAGACTCTGTCTCCACAGACATGGTAGCATGCACCTATGAAAGCCTAAAAGTAGGCAGATGGTGGCTTAGGCAGGAGCCAGGTCAGAAGTGAACCCTGTGCTAAAAACAGGAGCTAGTGAAAAACAGGGCTAGAGGCATGGCTCAGAGTTATCTTGCCAACCTCACAAGTACAAGGTCCTGTCAAACTCCCCAGTACAGCCAAAAAAAAAAAAACAAAACAAGCATGGTTATTCATGAAAAGACTTTTTATCCTCCTACAATCTGGACCTGTGATAAATAAGTTGGTGACTGTGACTATTCCAACACCAAACTCATAACTTCACATGTGAAAGGTAAACTATTAAGAGTCAGTGATTTCTAGACTGCACAAGTTTGAGCACAGAACTCATAATTTCTGACTCACAAGAGAACCATGATCAAAGATACAAAGCAGGTTCAAGCATAACTACTAAAAATTAAAACTTTGTAATATTTAACATTGGGTTTTCATTTAGCAAAAAAACAGGATCAAGCTACACATAACTATGTTTCAACAGATCACTAATAGCTTTCCACATTTAAGACACATTTTGTGGGATAAAGATTGTATACCTTAGCTTTACAGGCCACAGTAAATATAAATGCAGTCCAGATAGGGTAAGCAGCATGACGACTTTAAATTAACATTTCTAAACAATCCCACAAAACTAGGCATGCATTTTAACTCTCCATAGCAATTCCACCAGGCTTTCATCTAGTGAAAATACTGAGTTATAATAAACTTAGTCTGTGGTAGGCACTATACTAAGTTCTCACAGAAATATACTAGTCAGGGAGTCCGATAAGAAACTATTTTATGGGACAGGTGCTATTAAAATAGCCATTTATAAAGATTAACTAATTGTTCAAAGTCCAACAGTCAATAAAAAGCCCCAGCAGACTCAATTCTGTAACTGTTGAACCTAAAACCCAAGCCCTTCCTACCAGTTTTCTCTCTTGTGCTGAGTTCGTTCTATAGACAACACTCTAATAGTGATATTTTAATTTACTAATCTCAAAGCATTACTGCTGCTCTTTTACATTTTTATGTGATGAACTTTGTGTCTTAGGTCAAGTCCATAACAGTATTCTCTCTCATCTTTCCTCCATACCTGATCAAAGATCTGCATAACATATTTAATTCTATTATGTTTTATGTATTTTCTTTTTTTTTTTTGTTGTTGGTCGTGGGGCTTGAACTCTGGGCCTGGGCGCTGTCCCTCAGCTCTTCAGCTCAAGGCGAGCGCTCTACCACTTGAGCTACAGCGCCACTTCCGGTTTTCTGGTGGTTTATTGGAGATAGGAGTCTCAGGGTCTCTCCTGCCCGGGCTGGCTTTGAACCGCGATCCTCAGATCTCAGCCTCCTGAGTAGCTAGGATTACAGGCGTGAGCCACCAGCGCCCGGCTTATGTACATTTTCTTAGAATAAAGAAGAATCAAAAGCACACTATTGTCTAAACTTATACTTTCCTAAGCAGAGCTCTCCACAGGCCCATCCAGTTGATACACAAGCAGTGATTCTGTAAACATCTAAAAGCATACCTGTGTACAAAGTTAGTTGTGCCATCAATTGGGTCAATGATCCAAGTGGGGTTGTCGGTTAAGACACTTTTTTCCCCAGCTGCCACAGATTCTTCACCAATGAAACTAAACGAAACACAAAATCTCTAAATTGCTTCTGACAATTTTCAAGGTACAATACTTCCTTATACTTTCCTATAAAACATAGACAAAGTCTACAATTTTTGTTGCTGCTTCCTGCAAAAACTGATTAAAAAGGCTTTATTTTCCCCACAGCACAGATATATACAATGTAACAAGACTTCAAAATTCAAAATGGCAACAGGAGGATTAAGTAATGCCACACGCATGTACACAATTTTGTCTAAACTTATACTTCCCTGAGCAGAGCTCTCCACAGGCCCATCCAGATGCATCAGAAAAGGGCATTGGTTATAAGAGAAATGATCAAGAAAATATAATTCTAGGTAAGACCACAAATTTTCTAATATTCTTCCTTTCAAGATGTAGTTCCTCATGGACCCTGGTGAGCTCAGCAAATTGTCTTGTTTCTAACCAACAAAATAAAGAGGCTTTGACAGTGTACGGTTTTAGAGACCAGTTCACCAACTGGCCTGGTGTTTTCCATGTTGACACTGCCTCTTCCTTCCTGACTCACGAGCTTGGGGAGACTACCAGCAAACAACCCACAAGCAACTGAAGTCTGCCAACCATCACAGAAATGAATGAATCCTTCAGCTCTAGTTGAGCCTTGACATGACTGAAGCCCTGAACAATACTTTGGCTAAAACCTCATATTCCTAACTCTAGTAAAACTGAGGTAATGAAAGTTTGTTGATAGAGCTCTAAGCTTTTAGGAGAAATCTGCTTTGCAGTAATAGATAACCAACACAGAGAATATTAAATAAGTAATGGAAATGCAAATCACCTACAACAAAATTGCTGTGTATATGGTATCTGAGCTTACTGGCTTTTCTATTTTCCTATTCTTATTTTGTATTTTACATTATTCACTATTCACCACTGAACCATCCTAATTACCATTTTTTGTGGTTTTATTTTCCATCTTTTTCTCTTAGTTATGTCTTTTTAGCTTTCTATCTAGCTATAGTTTTAAATATTTTTATTTCTCAATAACTAAAAGACTGGCAATGGCCAATGGCTGACTAGTAAGTACTGAATGACAGAGAAAAGACTTTTAAATACAATAACAATACTTCTCTATTTTTTTTTCTTTTTGGTCTAGCTGTGTAACCCAGGTCTGAATTAACCTTCCTATTTTCCTGCCTCTATCTCCTAAATGCTGGAATTAGAGATATGTCCAATCAAGCCCTGCTGATGACAATGTTTCTGCTAAATTTCTGTGCCTATGAGAGCATATATTTTAGATTTTCTGTCAGATTCACTAAAGCTACTACTTCTTTACCATACAAAGACAGCAGCAAAACAGAATATAACTGAGTTTTCTAATCATGTCTACCAAACATTCCTTTTTTTTTTTTCTTTTAATGGTACGAGGGCTTGAAGTTTTCTCAGCTAGTACTTTACCACTACAGCCATGGCTTTTTTAACTTAATTTTTGGAAACATTATTGAGGATTGAACTCAGGCCTCTTACAAGGTAGTCAAGTTTTCTGACTACATGAGCCATACCTCGAGCCCTTTTGTACTTTGTTCTGAGATAGCATCGTGCCAACTTTGTAGAGATTAGCCTGTACTTTATCCTCCAATAGGTTTGAGTTCTTCCCTCGCATGGTCTTGATCTGAGCTTTCTAATACATTCACAATAAATTCAAATTGTATAGGTTTGGTGCCTAATACACTGACCTAAACTAGAGTTCATCTTATCCCTGGAAATGGATATAAAAAATACCTATGAGATGGGTATTTTTCCTTTATAGAAGACAGAAGCATTTTTTCAACCTTTTGATCCGTAGCAGTTACCAAATCAGCTGGAGAACTTTTAATCATAACATTCATTTCATGTTTTAGAGCTTCACAAATCACCTAAAAAGATAATTTTTTGGGGGGTGGGGGGAGGAGGTAAACAAATAGAAAAGGCATAAGTAATTTTAAATCAAACAAAAAGAATAATACAAATGGCTTAAAATATTCAATCTGTCTTATATGATATGCTTAAAATTTTCTTGCAAAACTCTCCCTATAATAAGACATTTAGTGCTTATGATCTTCTGGGCACAAATTATATAATCCTATATTCTATTTTAGATCCATAGCTGTCATTAGAGTTTAATATAAAGTTGAAATAAGGAGCTTGGGTGTACAGTTATAAAAGTGGTTGCCTAGCATATGTGAGGCACTAGGATCTACTCCCCAGTATCAAAATGATAATAAAAATAAATAAAAACAAAGGGATTTTCACTGTATTTAAAATGGCACTATCTACACCTACCACATTATAGCCAAGGAAATTTTAGTTCATACCTCTCCAGCTTGTCTTGCCAGGGTTACTGCAAAGTCCATGCATTCTTGCCAAGGATCAGCCATCTTCTGAATCTATTTCATATTTTTAAGTACAAGGTATTTACAGATTCATCAAAATGTTTATTACAGAATAGTCAGTTCACAAAAGCATCTCAATGATCAACAGACTTTTACTCCAGGAATCACCCTTTTCCTAATACAGAGTTCAGTACTTCCCTGTACTCCTGATTTTCTTGGTGACCTAGTAAAAAATCATTTTGCACCTAATACCTTACTTCTATTATAAAACATTCTATAACAGAAAAATTCTATAAAAATGTCACCCAAGATGTCCATACGAAGACAAGTAGTATTTTAAATATAGGTGTATTGCTGAGTGGAGAACAAAGTGTAGATAGGAGAAAGAACCCGGACATTTTAAAATAAAGGAAACTTCCATTAAAAAGGGCAAAAGAGCATGTACAAATTATTTAATGCTTAATACATGTGATTTTTTAAAGTAAATTTGTAAAGATGAAAATTTCAGACTGAAAGATAAGAAATAATTTACATAATGTATAAACAGATGACAGTCCAAATTTTAAAATTCTGATTTTCAAGTCCATTTATTCTTCTATATAATATTCTGAGGAAAAAAATTTGAAGTATAAAAACAGAGTAAGAAAGCAAAGATGAAATTTACTTCCTGAATTTCAGAGAGGGGGAAAAATACAACATAGTTTTGTGCTCTTCCTCTGCCCCGTCAGAACTTTCCACTAACTTGTGAAGCCTCACTGCTGGTTTGACAGCACTCCAGTCTGTGCCCAGCACAGAGAAACAAATGAAGCTGTCATGCTCTGAAAACTGACATTTTTCATAAAGCAACCTAATTCTTTATCCTATATACTTCCAATAACTGACATTTTTGTCTTATAGAATATTAAGAAATCTTGATCTTATTGCTCACAAGATCAGGGGAGAGGGCAAAGGATGAATAAAGTGAATTTCTGCTGGGGCTTTTCTTTCTCCTTGGTAGTTTTTGTTATTATTATTGTTGTTTTCTTTAAACTGTTTAGTCTAGTGTGAAACTTGGGATCCTCCTACCTAACCAACCAAGTGCTTGGATTACAAATGTGTACCAGCATGCTGGGCACTTTCTCTTCTTGAAATAAGCATTTAAACAAATTTTAACAGGAGGCTACTCTTCATAAATCTTTGATGCTCTTCCAGAAGTTTCCAAACTTTTTCCATTTCTGCTTCTACTCTTTTTCACTCTGAAGTAGTGTTCTTAGATTGCATTTGCTTTCTTACTAGAGGCTTTGCTTAAGCTACTTACTCTCTACTTTCTGAGAGTACAGTACAAACTCCTACTATTTCATCAAGGCCCATTTCAGAAGCTCTCCATTTCTAGAGACCTTCTAGCCAGAAGCTGTTTATCACTCAACAAGAATTTGCTGATACTTATTATATGCTAGACACAGCACTACCATGTGGAAAACTGAATTAGTTAAAAAAAAAGAAAAGAAAAAAAAGGAAACACACCAAAAAAAAACTCCACTGTTCATATATATATAAAAATTATAAATGTAGTAAAGGCTAAAAAAGCAGTGAGAAGCATTGTGACCAGAGCTATGACCAGACCTTGGTACTGGATGTTTCTCTGAGGATATGATTAAATTAAGTTGCAAAGAATAAGTAAAAAGTCATTAACCAAATTGCAGAACTAAAGAAAAAGAGGAACTTAAAAGACCCAAGCAGGACACCTCAGAGAATGAGAAATGGAAAGGGATAAGGCTAGAGGAGATACTGAGGCCAATATTTTAAAGGCCTGAGGGCTTCTTGCTAGGCAAGTGTGTTCCTAAGCCCTAGAGGTAAGACTTTGATTTGAGAACAATGGGGAGTCATTTTATTGTGGCTATAGAATGGAAGAGCAAAAATTAGAAAATTTAGATTTGGTATGCAGAAGTTCACAGAGACCCAATGGTTGACTTAAACCTAGGGGGTGAGGAGGGGGGAAGCTTAGGCAGAGAGATGATTAGGGAGTAAAGTAGGGAAACTTGGTAGCAAATCAAACTTGAGGCAAGAGAAGGAGTTCGTTGATGCCCACATCCCTCACTTTGGCACTGGCAAGGATAATGACCACACCTTCTGAAAAAGGGAGGAACAAAGGGGTAAAGTTTGGGTAGAAGAAGATCAAGAGCAGGTAGTTCTGTGAAATCAAAATACAGTGTCAATTAGACAACTGAATATATATTGATTCCAAGCTTGGAGACAGGTATTCCTGCTGATATAAATACGTAAGCAATTTAAATAGGTAGCAATGGAGTCTGAATGTGAATGACTCCTGGAGCTTCAGCCTGGAAGAACATTATCATTTTTATGACACTCAGTAATGCCTTCTTTACGGTTTAGTCATTTGTGTGAATGCTTTATCTTCTCAACCAGCGAGATGATATTTGTTTTTGTGAAACAAAAACAAAGGGAAATTCTTAGCTGTTACAAGTATGACAGGCCTAGAAGAGGAAAAGGATTAAGAAAACTAATCAGCTTCCCCCTCCTCCCCGCACCCCCCCAAGGTGTGAAACCAACAAAAAGACTGTTTAAAGATACTCTAGGCCCCGGGGGCATTGTTTTTCAACCAGTGCTTAGCTTTGCTCCTGGTGGTTTTCTTAAACTTACTCCGGGACCTGGACCTTTTCCTGTCCAGGATAGCTCTTAAATGGCTCAATAAATGTTTTTATTTCGGGACATTTTGTTTTCTCTCTTTAACTGCGGCCATATCCTTTTCACCTGCACTTCTCCCCAACGGTAAGTATCGGGGACTTTTCCAGCCGGTCTCCCTCCACACCGACGGGCCTTCGGATGGGGGCCGCGGGGCCGCTGCAGTCCTCACCCGCCCCCGACGGCGCGGGCCCAGGGCTCAGCCCGACCTCTCCGACCCCGGTGAAGGCAGACGGGGCAATTCCACAGGGACCGCCGCAGGCTGGTGCAGGCTGGTGTGAAACCGCTGGTTTCTGGAGTCGCAGGGCAGGGAGAGGGCACCCAACCGTGGCCCGGGCCTCGGGCTCTGGCCTTGCGCAGCCCACCGCGCCCACCCGCGCCGCCCAGGCCTCAGCGCCCAACCTGCGCGCCCGAGGGCCGCAGGAATGAGGGAGGAAAATGGTTCTCACCTCGGGTTCGAGGGTTCGATCCTGCTCGCTCGCTCGCTCGCAAGCTCGGTCAGTTGCCGGAGGTAAGTGAGGATTCGCTCTTCCGGAGGTAACGGGACGCCGGGACAGGAAGTCCCGCCTCCACAAAGGTCTTCCCTCGAGGGGCGTGGCTATGGGGCGTGGCTCTATTGGACGTGGCCACGCCCCCTTCGCTGGAGTTCCGCCTCGGGGCGTGCATTGCAGCCTGGCTCCTTTTCCTGGCCTGACCTGATGCAGGACACCTTCTCTAGTTCTTCTAACTTCCTTTCTCCCGCTGGCCTTTTCTTCTTTAAGAATCACCTTTTTTCTTTTGCTGACGACTTCTTTTGTCTTCCATCCGTTCATGTTTTCCCAGTTCCCTTTTTTCCTTCTATTCTCTTATTTCTGTCCTTGTGTTTGACAGAACATAATATTGGTGCTGTGGTTCCAGTTGAGCAGCTCTTAGTTGCTAATCCTATTCTAGGTAAACATAGATTTAAAAAAATTACTGGTTACCAGAAACTACTGTCTAGTCTCAGTAATTCATTTAGATGCCATTTATTGAAGACTGAAATGTACTTCGGGCAGTTGTACTTGGCATGTGCGAGGCAAGCACCTGACCATTAAGCAGGATCGCCAATACTAGTTTTTTGTTGTTGTTGTTGTTTTTGTTTTTTTTTGTTTGAGACAAAATCCCACTACGTAGCTCAGGCTGGGTTGAAACTCCTGATCTTCCTCCTTTCTCTCCAAAGTGCTGGGATTACCACCTTCACACCACCTTCACACCAGACAATTGCTGTATTTTTATTTGCAGTGTTTAACTGAAACGTTGCAACAGTTCCATACAGGTGTGATTCTCTTTATATAAATGAAGAAATGATAACCTAGAGAGATGATGTTAAGTGGTTTGTCCCAGATCACATAACCGGAGCAGAGAGTGGCATACCCTGACTCCAAAGTACACAGGCAGGAAAGACACAGGCTGCAACAGATTGCATCCCATTTAGTACAAGTCTATTGTCCTTAAAATAATTCCTTCTCTCCCAATGCCAAAAGCAATGCACAGTTGTCCTAGCCACAACAGGATCAGAAAGTAGGTTGAGTCTTTGCTTCTAAGTGGTTGTTTCCACAGTTTAATCAGGAGACAAAAAGTTATTGCCAATGTAAAACATATTCCAAACATGAATGGTGCTGGGTTTGCATGTCATACTCAGATAATCCTAATTACTCAAGAGGCTAAGAAACAAAGGATCTCAGTTTGAATACAGTCAGAGCAGAAAAGTCTATGAAATTTCATTTCCAAAATAACCAGCAAAACTTGGGCTGTATGCATGGCTCAAATGGCAAAACTCCTGCCATAAGCAAGAAAGCCTTGAGACCTTAAGTTTAAGCCCTGGTATGGCATAAACAACAACAAAAACAAAACAAAACATGAAAGCCCCAAAACAACAATAAAAAAGGATTACTGTGAACAGTGGACTCAATTCTTTTTCTTCTGAAGAATGATGACTCAAGAACGATTTGGAAGCATTCCCTTATCAAATGATACTTTTGGTTTCTTCATTTTATATTTTAAAAAGTCTCAGTAAGCTGGATGCCTGTGGCTCACACCTGTAACCCTAGCTACTCAGGAGGCTGAGATCTGAGGATCGTGGTTCTAAGCCAGCCTGGCAGGAACGTCCATGATACTCTTATCATCAGTAAATCACTCAGAAAACTAGAAGTGCCTTACGTAGTAGAGCGCTAGCCTTGAGCTGAAGAACTGAGGGACAGTGCCCAGGCCCAGAGTTCAAGCCCCATGACCGACGAGAAAAAAAAAACAAAAACAAAAAAAAAACCCTCAGGAACTAATTTTTTTTTTTTTTTTTGGTCAGTTGTGAGACCTTAGCTCTGGGCCTGGGCTCTGGCCCTCAGCTCTTCAGCTCAAGGTTAGCCCTCTACCATGTGAGCCACAGTACCACTTCCATTTTTTTCTGTGTATGTGCTGCTAAGGAATGGAACCCAGGGCCTCATGCATGCAAGGCAAGCACTCTACCACTGAGCCACCTTCCCAGCCCCAGGAACTAATTTTTTCATTCTTCATTGTCAATCACAATAAAATTAATGTATTGACAAGTATTGATTTGTAGCCAAGTAAAAATTTCCAGACATTTACAGAAACATTTTAAGAGACATCTTTGAACTTTTTATAAGAGAAAATGTTCCACTGATTTGGCAAACTGCTAAAATCAGTTTAAGTGATTTCAAATAAGGAAAGGTCTCACATATTTTACTCCTTTAATTAAAAATAAAATTAAAATAAAACCATTGTAAGCTCCCTATATCAAAAGTCTAGTTTATTTATTGATTAATTTTTTTAAGAAGCTGAGGCTGCTACTTAACAATTATTCTCAAGTAATTCTTTTTTTTTTTCAGTCCAAAGCGAAGACTCTGCTTCTAAGTGCTCTTTAGAGTGAAGTGGGGAATGAGCATAGTGTCTGGTGTTCAAATTTCATTGCAGCCATTGCAAACAGATGTACTCAATTTACCATAGTGTTCAACTTGCTGAGAGTTCTCAGCTCAAAATGAGGATAATTCTGAGAAGTAACAAAGCAAAACAACAGCAACCACTCCACTCCTAAACTCATGCTCAAATCTTTGAAGTCTGCCAAAGTCCTTTAAAAGTTAACTATTAAATAAGATTTAAAATATTCAAGCTTACATATACAATATGCACTTGTTCAAAGATGAAGCCTACATATTATCTCCAAAGAGTCTATGTTTTAATGACATAAGTTAGAGTTGCAAATATTGATTAAGGCTTCTCACATGGCCCTCGTGAGAAGTCCAGGTATAAGAACAGATACCAGTCCAACACTTGATGGCTCACTCCTATAATCCTAGCTACTCAGGAGGCTGAGATCTGAGGATCATGCTTCTAAGCCAGACCAGGCAGACAAAGTCCAAGAAACTCTTATCTCCAATTAACTACTAAAAAATGACTGAAGTGGGGCTGTGACTCAAGTGGTAGAGCACCAGTCTTGAAGGAAAAAAATCTAAAGGACAACACTCACTCCTTGAGTTCAAACCCATATATTAACACAGAGAGAGAGAGAGAGAAAGAGAGAGAGAGAGAGAACCACAAGAGTTACAATAGAGTCTAGAACATGTTAAAGTTATTCCGGCCAGGTGCTGGTGGCTCATGCCACTGTTTTTAAGCTTCTTCATTTTACCCAGACATGCTGTCACTGAAATCAGGTCCTATGACATCAAATGAGATGCTAGTTTTATGCCAGAATCAGGCTTACAGTTGGTAATGATATTAAACCTTAGCTACTCAGAAGGCTGAGATCTGAGGTTTGCAGTTCAAAGTTCCATCCCAGAAAAAAAGTTTGGAAGGCTCACCACTTAACCAGCAAAAAGCTAGCAGTGGAGCTGTGGCTCAAGTTCCAGCCCAGCCTTGAGTGAAAAAAGCCAAGTGAGGGCACAAAGCCTTGAGTTTAAGGCCAGCCTTAGACCATGATCCTTCTACCTCCCAAATAGTTGGGAATACAGCTGGCCTGATATTTCCTATTCTTGATAGCTACATTTTCTGTGGAGAATAGACTGGCCTTGGATATTAAAAGTTTCCCATGAAAATGTCAGGCTATTTATTTTTTTCAGTGTTGAGGATTGAAACCCCAGCTTCAAGTATGCCAGGCAAATACTCTATCATTGAGCCACAATCCCTGCCCAAATAGTGATATAAATATCTTCATTTTGGTCCTAGTTAGTGCTTCAAGATCTATTTGAATAAGCACATAACACAGAAGAAATGTTGTGGTAGATCTTGCAGAGAATGCAATTCTCATGCTCAAGGATTTACAGCAAATGAGAATAAAACAGGAAGAGAGATAGCTGTATAACAAGACAGGTCAGTTTATACAAACAAAGGCATATTTGTGAGATCCTAAATCATCTGCTTGGTTGGAGCAAGGTCTTGTTAAAAAGAAATAAGAGCAGCTAGGCCAGTGACACACCCCTGTAACACCAACACTTGAGAGGTGGGGGCCAGTCTGGGCTACACAGGAAGACTGTGTATTAAAAAAAAAAAAAAAAAGTTGGAGGCTAAAGTAGAAAACTAGACCTTGATTAAGGTCAGAGAGAAGAGAATGAAAGTGTCCCACTAAGGAATAGAAGACAAAAAGTCTTTCTGGAAAGATAGATAAGACAAAAATTAGATTTCTTGATTAATTTGACAGGGATTGGAAAGGTGGACAGAGGCTAAGCACCAATTGGAAAGGCTAGGAAAGAAGCAATACAAGGGAACAAAAGTGATAGAATTGAGGAGGAGGCTGGGAAAGACAGTATTATAGGAAATTTGGGGTGTAATTAAGTTACTAAAATAAAAAGAGAAAAGAAGAGAGAACTGCTCCAGGGTAATGGGGGGTGGGGAGTAGACAGCAAGATGTGTGTATAGCTATGAAAGCAGAGGTACTTCATGTAGGTTAAGACATAATGCTTCTGACCAACTAATGAGAGTGCTAAATAGGAATTTCTTTATTCATTCACTGAGTGAGCATTTGTCAAACAACCCTTCCTTAAATACTTAACATATGTTAAAATTACTACGTATTTTTACATGTTTTCTCATTTAACAGATTATGATCGAGTATCCTATTTACATCCTACTCTATAAAATGTTCTCCAATTAATACAGTTAAAAGATATCTCCTTCTGAACTCATTTTACTCTGGGTGCTTAGCATGTATGATCTACCTTCATGTGAAAATTTTAACCAGATCGTAAGTGGCTTTGAGATCACGTATTATTTCATATTTTAATTTTTAAATGTTATTATCTGTAAGTAATTTACAAAGGGGATTCAATTCAATATGTCAGTTTTTGAGTACAATGCATTTTACTCAATGTAAATGATACCTCATCTAGAGAGGGATTCAAGTAACTGTGCTTTAAATTTTAGACTGAGGGAAAATTTTGATTTTCTATGACAAAGATACCTCTTTTCTTAGCCCTGTAGATCAGAAGGATGAGTAACATTTCACAGCCAGAACACATGGCTATAGTAAAAGGAGCCACAGAAGCAAAGTTTGCCTCGGGCTGTGAAAAAGAGAACTGTATAATGGCAAGGGCTAGGAAACTATTTTGCATTCCACTTTCAAAGGCAACAGTCTTACAGACAGGAAGGGGCAGCATGCACAGGTTAGAGAAGGAATACCCAAGCAACAAGCCTAAGGCAGGAACTAAAAGACCCAAAAGAAGCACTTCTAGGTGAGCTGATTTTAGCAGCACAGATCCCATCTGGAAAGTCAAGCAAATCCCTATCAACATTAAAAGAAAACTCAGTGGTCGGATGATTGTTTCTAAAAGATTTGCTTTTGCAGGTGCCCTCCTCTTGATGATTATTCCCACCGATACTGGTATAAGTATGAACAGAAGTGTTGACACAATTTTGAAGACAGGAATATGAAATATACCCGATAAACCTAGTAGCCTACTGTATATATAAGAATTGATAGGCATCATTATCAGGGCCATTGATGTTGATGTGCAAGTCATCAAAATGGCCACAGTGACATCTCCCTCTAGAAGCAGAGCAAAGAGATAACCACCACCCCCTCCTGGGCATGTACAGGTCATAATAAACCCAAAAGCTTGTGCCTCAGGCAATGCCAAAATCTGAGACAAAAGAAAGCCACAAAATGGCATAAGAAAAAACTGTATAACTGCCCCAATAATTACTGGTAAAGGTCTCCTCCATACTGACTGAAGCACCTGGAATTCAATCTTGCAACCAAAAGCACACTTATTTAACAGGATCATGGGTAGAATCAGCATTAGGATATTTCTATTAACATGCACCGGAGCCTGGACAGATCTCTCTTTGCTCAGTTTCTGCACTTTGACTCTGATATTCTTTATTTCTTCAATTAGTCTTTTTTGCCTACCTTCAGAGTCCCAGAGTTGAAGGGTCAGATTTGTCTCTCCTTCTTGATGTATCAGTAGGTTTATGGTAAAATTTGTAACATCCGATGTCATCTTGGTCACATTCACCACTTGGAGCACTTTGGGGTCTTGTAATTTCACAAAAAGGTAGCTGGAGTTAGGCTGTTTATCTTTATAATTTGATCTGATGATGACTGTTTCTTCAATCTTTTCAAAAAAAAGTATCTCCATCTTTATATCCAGAAAACTGAGAAATGACTTCTTGGCTTCTCCCAGACTCACAAACAAAAGGAAGATCATGAAAAATATTCTAGTCATTTTGAATGCTCAAATAAATGGTGAATGTACAAGGTTGTTTGGGTTTTTTTCCCTCTTACTGACTCTGTAAAGCTGTTAAGTGACTATTGTCGGTTCAAGGTCCAGTAGGAGGGGCTGCTGTACTTTTCAAATGAATACAAAACTATCTAGAGTGACATAACTTGTTTAACCTGTAGTTGAAACAAAAGTTATGCCATTTAACAGGTTCAATTTCTCACCAACAGAGCCTAGTCTTTTTCTTCCTGCTAATGAAAAACAGCCCATTTACCTGAACTTAAGATCTTGGTGGTGTTTTTTGTTGTTGTTGGGTTTTTTTTTTTAATTTAACTTTATTTTATTTGAGAACATACTGTACAGAGGGGTTACAATTACATGGGCAGAATTTAAACCACCCAACAACAAATCCTCAAAGAAACAACTGCCCAATAAATAAGTGGGCGAAAGACTTAAAGAGAAGCTTCTCTGAAGAAGAAAGAAGGATGGCCAATAGACACATGAAGAAATGTTCAACATCCCTAGCCATAAAAGAAATGCAAATCAAAACAACATTGAGATATCACCTCACTCCAGTTAGAACAGCAAAAATCAAGAACTCTAACAACAACAGATGCTGGAGGGGATGTGGACAGAAAGGAACCTTACTTCATTGTTGGTGGGAACGTAAACTTGTTCAACCACTTTGGAAAGCAGTATGGAGGTGTTGTTGGGTTTTTTTGTTGTTTTCTTTGCCAGTGCTGGGGCTTTAACTCAGGGCTTGGGCCCTGTCCTCAGCTTTTTTTGCTCAAGGCTAGCACTCTACCACTTGAGGCACAGCACCACTTCTGTCTTTTTCTGTTTATGTATTACTGAGGAATTGAACCCAGGGTCTCATGCATGCTAGGCAAGCGCTCTACCACTAAGCCACATTCCCAGGCTTGGTGGTTGTTTTGTATTGTTTTTGATAGGGTCTACAGTGTGGCCAAGATTGGTCTAGAATTCACAATACACCTGCATCAGCCTTTCAAGTAGAGGGATTAGAGGCATGCAGCACCTAACTGCCTAGTGTCTTTTTTGTTTTGTTGATCATGGGGCTTGAACTAGTCTGAGCTCTTTTGCTCGACTAGTACTTTACCACTAGAGGTACAGTGCCACTTCCACTTTTCTGGTGGTCAATTGGAGATGAGTCTTATGGACTTTCCTGCCTGGGCTGGCAGGAAAGAACCACCATCCTCAGATCTCAGCCACGAGCAGCCAAGAATACAGGCATGAGCCACTAGCACCCGACTTTTTTTTTTTAAACTGTTCACTGTTGCTTTTTAAATATTTTTATTTTCTTTAAGTAGTTGTACAAAGGATTTACCATTTAACAAAAAAGTTTATGAATACAATATCTCTTTACCAATGTAACCCCTTTTAACATTCTTACCCACCTCTTTTCTCACTTTTCTTAGTTTTTAGTTTATGTATTGAATTTTTGCCATTTGACAAAGAAATTTATGTATATAATGCATCTTGATTCTGGTGTCATTTTTTTTGGTTCTTTTCCATGCTTAGGAAAACTTATACTAAAAGTAGCAGTATAAGAAATCTAACACAGACTTTGAGGAGGCTTTGGGAATCAACGACATATTTTGAGTCAAAACTTACTGCATATTTGCTTGCTGGAGCAAGTTATAACATGGTGATCAAGCCAGACACCATGTTTGCTTTCTTGGAATTTATTCAGGTGGCCAGCATTGTCAGGCTGCATGGCTATTGCCATTAAGAAAACCGTAGAGTCCTTACACTGGCCTCAGTAGTATCCTTAGATTGCTAACAAGTTTTCCTACAACTCTAGTGTGATTGATTCTATTTTTCATGTCCCTACATAGGAAAATAATGGCTAGATTGTTACCACATAATTTAGGAACATTAGAAAAGTAAGTGATTGGCATTGTGGTCAAAGGAAGTTCCCTTGAAAATTAACTGAGACAGATTAGCTCCATTCCCTCACCATTAGTACAATGTGTCTTGTTTTTCTTATTGTCCTACATAAAACAAAAGTATGGGACCTTAAGTCTATAAAAAGAATATAATTGCATAAATTATTTAAACAACATAATTGTATAAATACCATTTGATTAAAACTTGTCAAAATGTCTGATAAAAATTATTTTGACAGAATTTAAGAAGCAATTATCTATAGTACTCAATGTAAATGTTTTTCAGATTTCATCATGATTACTGTAGGATCTGCTGCAATTGTCACTTGGTAAGGTCACATGTTAAGAGACTAATGACTGACAAGTAGAATGCAGGCCCAGTAGTAGACAGTGGTGGTATTTTGGGGTTTTGTTGTTTCATTTTGATGCATGGTTCAGAACTTCCTACTCATGATTGGAAAAAAACCACAATTGTTTGTAGAAGTCTAAAAATGCTCTGATGTGTTTTCTTATCCCTGGGCACAGGTATATGACCCTGTTCAATACATAAAAACACAAAGAAAGAGCTGAAATAAGCTGGGCACCAGTGGTTTATGCCTGTAATCCTAGCTACTCATGAGGCTGAGATCTGAGGATAGCGGTTCAAAGCCAGCAGGGGAAGAATGTCTGTGAGACTCTTATTTCCAATTAACCACCAGAAAACCAGAAGTGGCACTGTGGCTCAAAGTGGTAGAGCAATAGCCTTGAGCTGAAGAGCACAAGGAGAGAGTTCAAAGCCCTACGACCAACAACAACAAAAAAAAAGAGCTGAAAGTGACAAAATAGACATAATGAGTTTATTCTTTTAATTACAACAATTGTATGTCCATAATATTAGTACAATACAAAGAACAGAAATAATTTCTATTCCATTCATATAATAGTACTTTGATAGTATAAACAGAAAATATTAGTCAGGAGCACTAGTTTCACTTTACTGGTAAAATGTGCTTATTTTTTAGCACATTTTGCTATCATGAAGTTGATCTATACCATCGTTCTTATTTATAACAGATTCATATAAATTTTTTAAAAGATGAGTCTTAATGGAGGGAATTATTTTTGTCAGAAGTATACCTCAGCATAGCTAGGTTACACCAAGAAAGTAATTTTCCCTTTATAGGCCTGTGATTGCTTATCCAAAAATTTAGGAGACTGGAGGTGTTGAGATGGGCATTGGGACAGAAAAAAAATTATAAGAATGAATGAGAGGGAGGCTTGTATACATCAATGGAGTTGCAAGCAGACATCGTCAATGGCTGCTAATGCTCAAGGCCAGGCAGCAAAGCCTGGTACATGCTGTAACAAAACACATCTTGGGGGGGGGGGGGAGAGGGGGAGAGGGAACTCTATGAGATGATCTCTAAATTTCTACAGTTCATTTATCAATTTATGCATTGTGATATAGGCTATACACTCTGGTCCATTAATATTAAGCTTGACCATGGGACCTGCTAATAGCAAAAGTTACAAATATATCTTTTAAGAGCCAACTGCCATCTGCCATCTCCTTCTCCCTCTGCCATAAAAACTACAAAATCACAGAAAGGAGGGATGAAGATGACAATAAAAAGTACCACAGCCAAGCAAAGCTGATACCCATCAACAGGGAAACATGTCTTAGTTTTAAAGCAGAATCTAATAAAAACTGGGTGAATATAAGAATTTAATAATAATTAGGTATCAATATACAGTTAAACTTTAAAACACAAAAATTACAACTTAGTAAAAAACATAAAAGACATAATGAAAATAAAAAGCAACTTTAGAAAGTAAAAACAAGGCAGGCACTGGTAGTTCATAGTAGGAATCCTATCTACTCAGAAAGTTGAGATCTGAAGATCTTGGTTCGAGGCCAGCTCAAGCAAACAAAGCTGAGAGATTGTTATCCCTAATCAACCAGCAAAAAGCCAGAAGTGTATGATTCAAGTGATGGTACAAGTCTTGAGGGAAAAAGCCAAGCAAGACTGCAAGACCCTGTGTTCAAGCCCCCGTATCGGCATATAAAAAGAGCAAAAACAAAAACAGTATCTCTAATAAAAGTAATTTTCTTAAACATTTAAACATGTATGTAGAATTTTTATGTGTGTGTGATTCCAGCTTGAATCCTTCAATGACTATTCCAAGTAAGATTCAATATTTTTTAAAGACTGTTCTTCAGCATCAAGATATTCCAAAATAATATTTCCACCATTATATAAAGGATAATCCTCTTTAGTAATCCACATTTCCAATGTATCATCCAAGGGTAAGGCTTCTCCTGAAGTACTGTGACATAATCTTAATTTCTGTTGAGAGAGAAATATATCATACCATAATAAACACGCTTACTTAAGAGTGTCCTAAAACTCTGAGGGAAAAATATTGTAACTTGATGTTACCTTAGCTGTTAACTTGTTATTGTCATTTTTAAGACTGGCTAAGGAAGCTGCAGAGTCTACAACCTTCCCTACGCTCCACCGGTGGCAAAAAAACATGGGTTTGCTCTTCTCTTTCCTCCCCTTTGGTAAGAAAACTTGAAAGTAAACTCTTTCTGTCTGCAAAAAAGAAAGTTAAAACACTGATTTACATATATGCTGTTAGACATTTGTTTGGTAATATCTCTTCCTCTATTCTTCAAGATATTAATGATGCATCTTTTATTGGGAAGACCACTTTTACAAGTCCAGTATCCACCTAAATGTATAGGCATAAAACCCAAGGCCCTGGGGAAGGTGACCTGTACAAAGACTGGAATGTGACCAGTCAAGCCAATCAGGGTCTTTTGCTAAGATTTTATGGTCGGAAAGTGAGTAGCTAGGATTATAGGCCTGAGCCAACAGGTGCTTAGCTGATAGCAGAAATTTTGGGATCAAAGAAACTAGTGCTGCTTTCAGATCAGTTCCCACAATTAAAAAAAAAAAAAAATGGATACAACCAAGGCATCTTTCTGCATTGTCAAGTGATCACAATTATTTTAGACTCAACATTAATTTCTGTCTCAGAAGAGAGACTAAGGAGTTCAGTGAAGTGTATTACTGTAAATAACCAGTACATAGGCACAAAAGAAAGAAAAAAAGGAAGGAAGGAAGGAGGGAAGGAAGGAAGGAATGAGGGAAAAGAAGTCACCATGACTAATGAGAGAGAAAGAGAGAGGGTGAGAGAACAAAATTGGAAAAGTCCACTCTGGGCCAATTCTATCAGCCCTTGTTCAAAAAACAAAGTAGTAAGGGTATAAATATAAAAAGAGAAATTTAGAAAGATATAGTATTATCTTTAAAAATGATAAATGTATCTGAGGATCAAAAATGAAAATACAGGAGAATCATGACTCTGAGACCAGCTTGGACTACAGAAGTTCTCTCTCAAAAAAGAATATATAGTCTGTCTGGTGCCAGAAAAGGATTCCATAGATTGGACCATGAGTGAGTGGGAACTAACATCATTAGCACAGAGGGAAGGACACAGTTTCTCAACAGACTCACTGCTTATAAAGAGAAGCTCTAAGAAAGGCGATTAAAGAAGTGGCTACTGAATGGTGACTTATGTCCATGTAAGTTAATTTTCAAGAAAGCAGAAAAGCATAGATAGAATCCTGAGAGTGAACTAAGTCAAGGCTCTTCATCTTAGTAAATGCATCTATCATAATCTGAAAAATCTCTGTAGAGCAGAAGCACAAACTTGAAACCTCAAGTTTTAATTTGAAGTAGATGCTCTGGGTGAGTGGGCCAGGGGGAAAAACATAAAATAGGTAGAAAAGAACTGATGTGCAAGGAGAGGGATAGAAAGATAAATGTACTATCCAAGAATTATATTATTAGAACATTTAACAAGCTGGGCACCAGTGGCTCATGCCTGGAATCCTAGCACCCCAAGAGGCTGAGATCTGAGGATGATGGTTCAAAGACAGCCTGGGCAGGAAAGTTCTTGATATTCTTATCTCCAATAAACTACTCAGAAAAAACTGGAAGTGGCACTGTGGCTAGAGTATTAGCCTTGAGCAAAAAAATCTTAGAGACAGAGCCTACGCCCAGAGTTCAAGTCCCAGTACTGCAAAAAAAAAAAAAATGTCTGTACAAATCCATTTGGTATTAACATATGACTTTAAAAAACAACTAGGAGGTGAAACAGAATAGGATATTTAAAAATCAAGTCCATATATAATATTTTGATATTTCAATTCAGTTGAGCAATTCAACTGAGCAATGATGATTTATTTAACCATCAGTGATAGAAAAACTAAGATTGGTCCAGTTCAAATATAAAAATAAAAATCCAAGGACTAGAGGCATGGCTCAGTGGTAAAGTACCTTCCTAGAAGCCCTGAGTTCAAATTCCAGTTCTGAAGAAAAAAAAACCATCAACTTTGCTGGGTACTGGTTACTCAAGTCTATAATCCTAGCCAGTTATGAGATTGAGACATGGAGGATGTTGACTCAAAGCCACCTTAGGCAGAAAAGTCCCTAATATTCTATCTCCAAAATAACCATCAAAAAGCTGAGTTGGGGGTGTGGCTCAAGTGGTAAAGTGCAGGTTAGTGAGCTGAGCAAGCTCACTAACTGAATTCAAACCCTAACAGAGGGGGGAAAATCCTGATAGATTAATGAAAACTGAAAAAGTTTTAAAAATTCTGGTGAAAACCAAAATAGGAATTAAATGATTTTAGAAAAATTGAGAACATTGATAGGTCAATGAGAAACGTAAGCAAAATCAATACATTTGATAACTTTTGATCAATTTTAAAGGACGTTTCTAAAGCAGATTGATTATAAAGGCTTACTACCTGTTGTAGTCTGTTTCTATATGTTGACCATGCAAATAAAAAGATAACTCAAATCATATCAAAGGATATGCATGGTTTAATCTTAATTGTCATCTTGATCAGAGTGAGAGACTCCTCTAGAATTAGGAAAGCTCTTTGTCTGGATCTGTCTGTCGTCTCCAGAGATGACTGGTATGTGGGACAGACAGCAACTGAAATCTACTACTACCGTCCTTCCCACTCCACCCCTGCTTCTCAGTTGCCATGAGAGAAGCTTTCTCTGAAACACAGTTGCACCACCATCATGCTATACTTACAACATAGAAGAGTATTAAATGAGATTAAAAAAATATAGAACCACAAAATAAGTAAAATGAAGTAAATAAGTAACAGTCCAGCTACATACATCATGGAATATGATCCAGCTTTTGAAGAACATGATGAAAACTGGGCACAGTAGCACAACTGTGTAATCCTCCCTTATGGGAAGCTGAGTAGGAGGATCACGAGTTTGAGGAAGCCTGCATTATATATCAAGACCTATATAAATACACACATGTATATACACAGACATGAATATGTGCATGTATTTTATGTGTGCATGTGTATATATACCTATTACCTAGGAATGTGAATATATATGCATGTACACATACAAATGCATATCCCCAACAAATCTATTTGCATAACACAGACAAGCAATTATGATAAGGAGAGTAGGTTTTATTTATAGACTTGTACAGTGTTTCATACACTCTCAAGCATATTCAGAAAATGGTCTTTAAAGTAGAACTGCTTGGTTTTCCCCTTACCAGCTATGCTGCTATGAAGTTACTCAGTTTTTTGTGCCTCAGTTTTCTCATCTGCAACAGTACAGACGTCAGTCTGTTGCAAGGATGAAATGTATTAGAGGGCTGCTAGAACGTAGGTGCTATAAAAATTAATAATGCGAACAACATTAGATGCTTTAAGGTTAAGTGTTCTTGACTTGTTCAGTGCTAACATCTTTTGGGGGGGACATTGTTGGGAACTGAACACAGGGCCTCAAGTGGTAGGCAAATACTCTACCATTGAGTTATACAACCAGTCTAGTTGGACATTTTTGCACCAGAAAACTCTGATGCCAGCACTGTCCTCCACTTTGTATGATGTTTAGAGTATCCTTGACCTCTATGCATTAGATCTCAGTAGCACTCCAGCTCCAGCTGTAACAATCACCTGCAGTTGAGAATCACTGCTGGAGAGGGAAATGGGTGTGGTACATATGAAGGTATGTTTGGAGGTATTTTATTTGTTGTCGGGGTGGTGATTATGGGGCTTGAACTCAGAGCCTGGGCACTGTCCCTGAGCTCTTTTGCGCCAGGCTAGCACTCTACCACTTTGAGCCACAGCTCGACTTCCGGTTTTTGATGTTTAACTGGAGATAACGGGAACTTTTCTTCCCCCGGTTGGCTTCAAACCTCAATTCTCAGATCCCAGCCTTCTGAGTAGCCTAGGATTACAGGCGTAAACCACCGGAGCCTGGCACTGGAGATTTTGTTTTGTTTTGTTTTTCTGGGGTCTGGTCATGGGGCCTGAACTCTGGGCCTGGGCGCTGTCCCTCAGCTCTTCAGCTCAAGGCTAGCGCTCTACCACTTGAGCCACAGCACCACTTCCAGCTTTTTCTGCTTATGTGGTGCTGAGGAATCGAACCCAGGGCCTCAGGCATGCAAGACAAGCGCTCTACCACTGAGCCACCTTCCCAGCCCGAGATTTTTGTTTTTTAATGCAGCTTTTAAAACTATATTGAAGCCTTGGCAATTATAAAAACAGCTAATGAAATTTTAAAAAGGGAAATATTAAGGATAATTACTAAAATAAGAAAACTATAATCAATGTTATCTAAATCAGTAGGATGAAAAGAAATAACAAAATTCAAATGAAAAAGATGATAGGAAAGAGAGAAGCAAAAGAATAACAAGTAGAAAAGGAAAGAGCAATTGAATAAACTAGATAAAAAGTACTGGCATGGAAAAATGCCAAGATAGGGAAAAAGGTATGATAGAACATATATGTAATCACTATCATCTGTGTAAAGTTAAAAAAAAAACAAAGCACCACAAAAGTTTGTTATTCATGAAGACCATATACCACGTGTTGCTAGGAATGATACATACCAAGTTTGTGTTAACTGTTATTTGATGAGATGGAGGAAGAATCAACCATGGAAATTATTTTGTTTTTCAAAATGTCTCAGACCAACCTGTGGCAATGACTTATCCCCATCGGCATGCATCTTTAATTTCATCAATGCAACCTTTGCGGCTGTCTCACTATTTTTGGCACCCTTCCGTCGTTTATTTGCTATCTCTCCTGTCTTGGAATCTAAGAAATAAGTGTAAGCATGTCAGCACTTATACATTACATTATATTATAAAACATTTATAGAATAAAGTCCTGGAACATTATACACACTAGAGATGTACATAAACCACATTGATTTTTGTAAGTATCATGTTCACAGACTAATGGAAAAATGTAATTGAGGTTGATCTAAGCAATCTCCACATTAAAAATTCACTGTTATGTGTCCCTTACAACTTAAGTCTATTTAATCTAAAGTGGCTACTAATGTTTCTGCAAGAAAAACTTTGGGTTTGGTTAGGAAGATTTTAATGAAGGCACTTTCCTTAATAGAGAATAACTGGCAGAAAGACTAATCTAAGTCACAGATAATATTGTTGTCTGGTAACTCTTATCAGTCGTAGTATTCATAGTATAGCTAAATAGGCTTATTACACTTCGTTCATTCTTTTTATTTCTTTTTATTAAGTAGTTGTACAAAGGGGTTTCAACTTCATAAGGCAGGTTATGAGTACACTGTATCTTGATCTATGTCACCCTTACATCTTCCTCTCTCCTATTTCCCCATCCCATCCCTGTCCACAAATTAAATGGTATCATTTGTGAAAAATAAACATAGAATAATGACTGTATTTGTTCACCCTTCCTCTCTCCATTTGTGTATCACCCTGTTATCACCCTCCCCCCAACATGTATAATGTTTACAGAAAACAGTCCAATCTATCAGTCTTATCACAGCAAACGAAACCATCTGGTTGGATACTTCCATGTATTTCTAAGTTTCATAGCTAAGATAGGCCTTATGAGGAATACCACAACAATGAATTTAAAATGCAAGCTACTGTCACTGAGCATGTTAATGACACCTATAATTGGTAAACAGATATAAGAGGCAAGGGCCCTGGAATTAACAGAATATACAGCAATAAGATAACAAAAGACATTTTCTGGTGACTTACCAATAATGTCCTTAACAAGTTTCTGAGTGGCAGCCATACGAGGCTTTGGGATTTCCAGTTTTTCACACTCATGATCTGACTGATGACGATGTCTACAATCAACAGGAAAGTGACAATAAAATTCATGCGTTTGTACACAATTCAAATAGAGATACAAAGCTGAATGGTCTAAGAGATAACCTTAAGCAAAAATTCTTCTCACAGAATGGACATATGACTGCCACAAGCTCCTTCTCAGTACAGTCCTTGTAGGAACACGGGTAAGATTTATGTGTATTTGTCTGAACTCTCTCATTGATTATAGTTACCTGAAAATGTAAAAAGGAGGAATATGCTATTATATTCACATTTAAAGCAATATACTAATCCATTTAGGAAGCTACCATTCCTATTACATTTGTTTGAACTTACTAGATCAAGTTGTAAACTCTTATAAAAAATTATAGAGCTGGGGGCCAGGCTTAAGTAGTAGAGTACCATCTGTGAGCAAGGAAACCAAATGGGCTCAAGGTCCTGAGTTCAAGCCCTATTACTAGAAGGAAAAAAATTATAATGCTTGTGGGAATTATTCTGCTGACTGTTCTACATTTTTATAATCTTCCTAATATGCTATATTGATCTTCTAAATTAAAACAACTATTTATTATATAGATGTATATGTGTATGTGTGTGTATATATATATGTATATATGTATATGTATATATATGTATATGTATATGTATATATATGTGTATATATATATATATATATATATATATATATATATATATATATATATATATATCCCAGGTTGGTCTCAAACTCACAAAACTCCTGCCTCAGCCTCCTGAGTGCTGGGATTACATGGGATTACAGCCATAAACCATCAGCCAGGTGTATTCTTTGCTTTAAAAACTTCTTTTTTTAGCCGGGTGCTGGTGGCTCATGCCTGTAATCCTAGCTACTCAGGAGGCTGAGATCTGAGGATCACAGTTCAAAGCCAGCCCGTGCAGGAAAGACCATGAGACTTCTACCTCCAATAAACCACTAGCAAGTGGTGCTGTGGCTCAAGTAGTAGAGTGCTTGCCTTGAGCTGAAGAGCTGAGGGACAGCGCCTAGGCTCAGAGTTCAAGTCCTGCGACCAACCAAAAAAACAAAACAAAACAAAAAAAACTTTTTTTTTTAAAATGAAACTAGGGATTGAAATCAGGGCCTAGTGTATGTTAAGCAATTAGTCCACAACTTGAGCCATTTTCTCAGCCCTTTTGTGCATGTATATTTGTAAACAGATGGCTTAATGCTATTAGTGGACCTCCTAAAGAGAAATGCTAAGGAATAAGAATTCTGAGGATAGAGCAGGGCATCAGTGGTCCATACCTGTAATCCTAGCTATTCAGGAGACTGAGGTCTAAGAATTGAGGTTCTAAGCCAATCTGGGCAGAAAAGTCCTTGAGACTCTTATCTCTAATTAACCACTGAAAAGATGGAAATGGAGTTCAAGTTACAGAGCTTTAGCATTGAGCAAGAAAGCTCAGGGACAGCAGCCACAGCCTAGTTCAAACCTAAGGATAAAATCTGAAAATACTAAAGTAGACAATTTTTTCTTTAAAATAGAAATAAATAATGTAAGCAAACCAAAAGCCTCTTTGCACAATTAATTTAGGGTGTCAACTTTTTTTTTTTTTTGGTCGGTCATGGGGCTTGAACTCAAGGCTTGGGTGCCATCCCTGAGCTCTTATGCTCAGGACTAGCACTCTATCACTTAGAGTCACAGCCCCACCTCCTCTGGTGCACTGACTAGTTTTATTTCTAATCAAATTCTGAATCAAATTACATGAACACAAACATTTTATCAGATAAGAAAAAATAAACATACCTCAGGACAACCATGAGAGTCCTTGCTTCTGTGTTCAAGGCTTGAATAATTTTTAAAAAAGTGTTTATTTAAATGCAATTAAACAAAGCACTTAAAGATAAGCTGAACAATCTGAGCTTTTTAATGACTGGCATCCTCAAGAAACATTACACTCACACTACTGTTTATGCAAGAATGAACTAAAAGGCCAGATATGTTAAAGATGGAGTATGTACATCTTCAGAATTGAAACACAAATATTCAACTTCAGTATGTGTAAAAGCAATTCACCACTCTTAATTACCTCTGCTTTGAGTCATTTCAAGTGTATAAAAATACAAATAAGTCTTTCAATCCCCATTATTCTTTAAAGAATCAATAAAATCATCAGTAGTAAAACATCAAGGAGTGTTTCAATCTTGAGTGATAAAAAATACAGTACTTTTATTTACTTCTAATGTATCTTCCTCAATTATATTCTGAAAGATATTTTTTCTGTGTCTAGTTTAATAAGTGAAATGCTAAATGTAAAGAAAATAAGTTTCTCCAAATGCTTTGTTAGGGTCCAGATTTTACTTTGCATGGTGTTCAAATCCTCTTAACATATATGTTGGGCTCTTTTCATTTACTGATGCTAAACAACAGTAATCATAGCCTGATTCTTTTACCATATTTTTACATTGTAAATATTTTCTCCTTGTAATAAAGGACACATACATGTATGTGATAGTCACATATAAGTATGATCAGAACCTATGACAAGTCACTTTGCCTTTTTCTTGATTACTTTATTGAATAGTACATGTCCATGGCTAAAGTTAGAATTACTCCAAATCACTATTCTTTTCAGAAATTAACCCTGTATTACAAACACCAAAAGTAATTTCAAATCCTGTATAAAAAACAACTTACCAGAAGATTCCTGAACAACCATCACAAACGAATGGAAGAAAATCTAAAATCAGGGGGAAATGTGGTAAGTACTGGTCAGTATGTGATTTTTTCATTTAGTTATTTTAAGTAAAATAAAACAGAAGAAAACAAAGAACACCTTAAAAGTTCTGGTCACATAAACAGGACAACACTTTCTGACTAATATTTCAATGTAAGAAGTCAACATGTATTTTTTTTTGGTCACGTCAATAATTGGCAAAACGTAACTGAATGAACAAGATGTTACTTGTAGTAGCTTTGTTAAATTAGAAAAAGATTTTGGTATTACTTTCCTTTTTCTGTTTTGCTTCTAAGATTTATTAATTGTTATTTTCTAGAATATACACTGCAAAAATTCTGCATTTGGAGTGAAAAACCTGGGTTTTAATTCTGATTCCAATGCTTGATAATGTTAAATATGGTACTTAATAATGAAACTCCAGTGATCATTCTCTGAAGGTTGTCTTGAAGAATTCCAAAATGAAAGAAAACAGCTTTCCGAAACAAAACAGAACAGCTTATCAAGCAGCCCCTCAAGTCAGAATTAACTTGTATTTATAATCCTAATAGCATATCTGAGAAAACTTGTGAAATTAAATACTAGAAACCAAGTACTAGAAAATGTTTTAGGCAGCCTATTCTTTAAAAGAAAATAATAATAAAGCGTTTTACAATTGCCTCCTACAGGGTGGGTATTTTAATCCAAAATAAAAACAAGAGTTGGTAAGCAACCAAAAGAGACTCCTATATAATTACATTGGTAGAAACATATGATGAACTGTCATTGCTGTTATTATGAGCTTCCTTTTCATACCAAGTAATTAAAGATACAAGTGTCAGTACATGAAAGAAACAGAAGCATGCAACATTCAGCAAACTTTTATGTATTTTCAATATGGAAAACATCATACATATATGCCATTTTGAGATTTCTGGTACACAATTAAATACTAGATGCAAACCAGGAGGGCCCAAGAAGAATTAAGATAACTTGATACCCTCTCTTAAGTTATTCTAAATTTTAGCCCTTTTGCTGTCTTAGATAGGCCCTGTCTCATCTCAACTAATGACACTAAAGATGTGTGAAGTTGGAAATGACAATGAATTATATCACAGACACAGGCTAGATGATATTTTTAGACTCACTAGAGAAATCAGACACATCAGATGCAGCACAGTCAAAACTGGGATGGCTAAAATTCCATAAGAAAGGACTACAGAACCATGTCCTGGTGGCTTACACCTGTCATCCTAGCTATTTAAAAGGCTGAGCTCTGAGGACTGTTCCAAGTCAGCCCAGGAAGAAAATTCCATGAGTGCTAGCCTTGAGCATAAGCAGCTCAGGGGCAGTGCCCAGACCCTGAGTTCAAGCCCTAATCCCCCATCTCTGTCTGTCCGTCTGTCTGTCTGTCTGTCTGTCTGTCTCTCTCTCTCTCTCTCTCTCTCTCACACACACACACACACACACTAAGAAATAAGAAGCAGAAAACAAGTTCTTGCCTGCTAAGTGGCTGGTTTTAAAGCCAATGATGAAAGTTACAAATTCAGAGTGCTGTAAGTAACAAGAACCTAACAGGGATAGTGTCACCACAGCAGGTTATCATTAATAAATTGTGGCACTTACGTTAAATCTGAGGGCTACCCGGGAGGGAGTCTCTTTCAACAGAGCCATTCCGAAACTTGCTACCAAGAACAGAAGCTTCAGGGGGAGTCTAACTGTCAACCTATGTGCATACATATCTGGAGTACCAAAGTCTGAGCTGCCCATGTCCGCTAATGCTTCAAGAATTCCTGGTTCCAGGAGGGTGAGGGGCATCCTGAAGCCCCTGACACACTGCCAGTGGGTTATCTGTGTCCACCTGTCCAACAGACTCCATCACCGTATTAACACTTAGTACTCTGAAAACTCTTCAGTGTTAGCACTAGCCCACATGTACCCAACACCAAATCAAAGCTCGGGAAACGCCAGCTCCACCGATAATTACGAATGAAAAAAAAATGGCTAGGTGGAGAAGAAGATACTAATAATAATATACTGATAACAGGAGTAATTTTAGAATCAGTAGCCTTTTGGGAATCTGATATGAAAGCCTTCTCCCACACGCTCGCTCATCGCCGGAGGAGCCCGACTCCTCAACTCCTTCACCTGTTGGCTAAAGGAGCAGGCCTGAGAACGCAGCTTGTCCGCGGTGTGCGCGGTGGCCGCGGCCAGCGTGGAGCTGCGGTCCCTGGAGGTCGGACCCCTCGCGCCCCTGGCCCCGCCCTCGCGCCCCTGGCCCCGCCCTCGCGCCCCTGGCCCCGCCCTCGTGCCGTGGCCCCGCCCCCTCTCCCGCCAGTCACCGGGGAGGAGCGAGCGCGCGGGTGGTTCCCCTGAGGAGCCGCGGGGAGCCCGGCCGCGGCGTCTCCCGGAACGGCTCGGAGACCGAGGAGAACACGTGTGCTTTGTTTTTGTTCTACCCCTTAATACTCAGGAGCAACCACCAAAAGCACGGACACCCCCGCTCCACAGACCGGCCCTCCCCAGCCACCGCCTTCATCATCTCTGACGTCACGGCCGAGCCCCGAGGCTGGAGAAGGGGAAGATGAGGGGGGGCGCAGGGGTGGGAGCAGGGATCACCTCGCTGCCGGCAGTGCTCCACCTGACAGTGCTGCCCAATGTCCAACTCCGCCATCTTTCTAGCGCTGGAAAGGGCGGGGCGGAGCCCAAGGGGCGGGGCAAGCCTGCGCGCGCAACTCGCGCCGGGCTCGGGGGGCGGAGCCTGCCGGGGGGCGTGGCCACGCCGGAAGCCGGGCGTAAGTGCTGGGGTTGCGGTGGCTGAGAACTACGTCTCCTTTTCCAAAACCGAATAGTTCTCATCGGTTTCTTATGAACCCCCCCTCTTTCTCTCTTTCCCTCCCTCCCCCTCGCTCCATCCCTCTCTCCTTCCCTCCCTCCTCTCCTTCGTTCTATGTCTTTGGAGCTTTTTGTAAGTCAGAGACTGTAGCGCAGGTGTTACTAGGATGCTGGGAAAGAGAGGCCTGGGTAACGCAGTTCCCGACTAATCCCAGACCACGGTGTCTCGAAGGTAGTTAACGCCCTTGTGAGCTATAGAGGGTTTTTCAGCATGTAAGAAAAAGAAAGTCCAAAGCCTCTTGGGGTCTCGGGTGTGTACCAAGCCCAGGGGGCCCCTCCGTTTAAGGAGCACAGTCTGAAATCTCGTTTTCAGGGCTTCCCCGGGTTGATGGGAGGCTGTGGTAGGCTAGAAGAGCCGGGCTTCCGGAATGTAGGGGGTAAAGGAATGGAATTCCACCTACGTGACACCAGACACCACCCTAGAGTGGACAAGTGGCAATCAGCCATACTCACGACAGGAGCTGAAGAGGTATCCAACACCTATGTGCGTTTTGGGAGTCCTAAAACAGGATTTGTTGAGGAAGGAGGAAGGATGGGATTGAGAAGAAAGAATTATCTCAGGATGTGCTCTTGAACAAGTCCTCTGAAGACTTTCAAGAAAGAATTGGCTTGTATATCTGGAGAAACTTTAGGTTTTTGTAAGATAGATATTCGGGACTCTTTAGCTACCCCCCCCCCCCGCCGCCCCCCCCCCCCCCCCCCCCCCGCTCAACTCCCATACTGGAGACTGAATTTAACCTTGCTCACAGGTACTCTACCACTTGAACCATCCCTCTAGCCCTCCTTTTTACATTGGTTATTTTCTAGATAGGTTCTCACTTTATTTCCCTTTGGTCTGGGCTGCCTTTCTCCTATTTGTGCTTTCCCAAGTCTCTGGGGACAACAAGCTTGCCATTGTGGTTCTCCCCATTGCTGGGGTAACAGATGTCCACTATGCTCCCAATTGTTGCTTGAGATGGAGCCTCACAAATTTTTGTGCCTTGGCAGACCTAGAGCCACGTTGAAAAAACTTGATAATGAAAGCTAAATGATTTGGGCAAGGGCATGACTCAAGTAGGTATTGCCCAAGAAGAGGCCCTGGGTTCAAACCCAGTACCAGCTACAGTATAATTCCACTTTTATATAAAATTCTTCTTAAGATAACTTTTTTCTTGTTCTTTCTCATAGGGCAATCAAGTCCTGTTGCTATTACATTCTGTCTTTTCAAGTTTATACCAGTTTTGATGTTGTGTTTGCCCAATTATTAACCGTTGTTTGTCTTCCCCTTCTAAGTTGTATGCTTTAAGGAGACAAGAGCTCCTGTGTCTTTTGTATTATTATTACTCTGAGTTTGTGTTGTTAGTGAAATAAATACATCTTTGCTTAATAAATGATTAAAAAGACTACTTTTAATCCTCATGCATTTGCCAATTTGAATTAGTACAGGTTTTCTATAACTGCCCCTAGTTGCCTTACCTCTGTCTGCATCGGTGCTCTGCTTTGGAATGACTTCTCACCCAGTTTTACAAATCAATTCTTACACATCCTTGAGAGTCAGATTTAAATGGCATCATTTCTCCAAGGCTTACTTTCATTTGTCCCACTTTAAAGGTGTCACACTTTTTTCTGGGCCACAATTATGTTTTATCTATACAACTTTCATAGCTTAGTTATTTTTTAATAATATTATTATAACTAGTCTTATGCATATTTCCTCCCTTACTGGACTAGGTAGTACATACATATTATATACACACATATATTACATACATATGTAATTATGGCCTGATGGTTGATGTTATATGCATTGTGATAATTCTGTCAATCTGTTATAGTGTCATTAAGGCGAATAGTAAGGTGTTGATAAGTCTACGAATTAACTGATGTTTACGCTTATTTTCACTTCCAATGAAGACAGTAATTTTTCTCAGGGTTTACAATGGAGAAGTGATCATAATCTAACTATCTAAAAGAGTAATGTGACCATATACAGGACAGAATGTAAATTCAGAGGAGAAATGCAAAAAATACTCAGATCAGCACTATTTTCTATAGCTCAAACTGAAAATAAGCCAAATGTTCACCAACATAACAGCAGTAAACATAAACAAATCATGAGACAAACAATGTCATCCTTTACCAAAGGGAAATCATCCTGACTCTACCTTCAATAAAGAACATAAATGAAACAAAATAAAACAGGATGTGGAAAAACAGAAGGCAGGCGTTCTATATTTCCATAAAAAACCCGTAGGCTCAAGTTGTCATTGCTAAATTATTTAGGAATTGGTGAACAATGGTGTCAGTCAGTACCTGTGGAGGCAAGGAAGGGGTTTGGTGGAAGGCACAGAAGGTGGCAGTATGGGCTTTTCCAGACCCATTTTTAAGAGTCAGGTTGTAATTATACTCATGTTCTCTGTAAAACGCTGTTAACTGTCATTGTATATTTATCCACTTTTCTGTAGATTGGTTATGTGTTGTAGTAAGATTTTTTTTAAATAATATGCTAGATAATGGGAAATTATTCTAGTTAAGGGTTTGGTATATTTAGACAAAGGAGAAGAGAATGATATATAACTACATTTAAAGCTACTCTCTTAGTATATGTGTGTGTTACTGAGCATTGAACCTAGGGCCTTTCTCATACAAGACAAGGACTATACCACTGAGCCAAATCCCCAGTCTATTTTATTTTTAATTGGTTAAAACAGTAATTAATTCTGGCTTGCATTTATCTGGTAACATCAATAGAATATAAACTTAGCCAGGTGCCAGTGGGTCATATCTGTAATTCTAACTACTCAGGAGGCTGAGATCTGAAGCATTGTGGTTCAAGCTGGCCTGTGCAGAAAAGTTTGAGACTCCAGCTCCAATTAACCAGCAAAAACAGTGTGTCACAAGTTGTAGAGTTCCAATCAGGAGCAAGAGAGCTAAGGGACAGTGTGAAGGTCTGAGTTTAAGCCCCACAACAAAAAAAATTCCACAAATTTAGTAATATGATTAATATTAAGATTACTTAATAACATTACTTAATAACTTAATTCACACTTAAATGAAATGAAAAATGCCTAAATTATTGCCATTATTTGAAAAGAATCCAATATTGTTTTTTATTTCTAAAATTCTATATTATAATATCTGGCGTGTGCCTGTAAGCCCATGTATTTGAGAGGCAAAGTCATGGAGATTAAAGAGTTCGAGGCCAGCCTGAGCTACCTAGTGAGACCCAGTCTCAGAACACCAAAGACTGAGGATGTAGCTCAGTGATCAGCTGTGCAGAATGTGCAAAGCCCAGAGGTTGATGCCCCTCATTGAAAAAAAATTCATACTACACTCAGGTAAATATTTATCCAAATTTTATGTTCTATAAAACATTAACAAATGTGGATAAAATAGGATCAGTTATTGATTGAAGCTATTTCTTAATTTCTTCTTAATTGAATTCTTTTATTTTGTTGTTATATAAAAATTTACAATTTGTCATGAACCAGCAGGTGTAACAGTTTGAATTATTGTTTGGCAAATATTTACTTCTTTTCCCACTCACTGAGGGCGGGGTGTAATTTGTCACCTCATAAATTCTGGATATAGTTATGTGAATTGCCTTGACCTACTAGAATGTTGAAAGGTTTGGTTCACATACAGTCATAAATGTGCTTCTATGGTTTGACTTGTTCTCTTGAGAGCCACTAAGAGAAGAAAGTGAGCCGTGAAATTATTGCTTTTCAGTGTAGGCCCTAAATTAACACATCTATGACAGACCTCAAAGCCACTTAGAACCTGAAGAAGAGCTACCCATCAATCCCTTTCTACCCCAGACAGACAGATCTAGCTGTAGGTATGTGAGTATTCATATATAATATTATTGACCAAATTCTGGATTTTGAGGGTGTTTTGTTACACAGCATCACCATACTGATAGCTGAATAATTCACAAAAGTGAGATGCTCCCATAATTTGCATGACAAAAAATTATTTCTTCTATCAGTTTATTTTACCTGTCAGGCCCAGTAACAACTCCTTTTTATTTTATTTATAAAATGTTATTATAAAGGTGATGTCCTGAAGAGTTACAGTTACATAAGTCAGGTAATGAATACATTTCTTTTTGGACAATGTCACCCCTTCCCTTGCTCTCTCCCAGTTTTCCCCTCCCATCTTCACCTACAAGTTGTATAGTTCATTTTCAATATAGTGTTTATCGAGTGAGTACTACTGAGTTGTCTTAACAATGCTTGAAATATCAAATGCAAACTTTAATAATGCTCTGGTTAGTCAGTATGTGCCCAGCTAGATATTTTATTTCATTTACTCCTTAAACAATATTGAAATAGTCTGGATTACAAAAATGGCTGAATACCTGTCAGCATCTAAAGCTCCTCTTCTCCTTCAGCCCACACTGGTCTTATGATTCATATAGTTACCAACTACTACTCTCTTTCCCAGCCTTATGGACCAGTCCATTAGCTTCAAATACATTGCTCCTTCCTCATCTTTCACTTCTCAAGAGAGGTTCTTAGGATCTGCTGCAGATTAAATCAGCTCTTTTGCTTCATGTATTGTTTTTCTGTTGTTCTTAAAAGTTAAACGAAAGGTAATGGCTTAACAACATCATAAAATTATCATCTTCAAGTTCTGTGGGCCAATACATCTTATGTATTGACAGGATTGCATTCCTTCTGAAGACTCTAGGGACGAATCCAATTCCCTGTGTTTTCTAGCTTGTGAAGACCTTTTGTATTTCTTTGCTTCCAACTCCTTCTTTTATCTTTAAGACTAGCAAGGAAGCACCCACAAATCTCTCTTCCTCTCTGCATTCCT